CTGTGCATTTGATTGTAAGTTTTCCTTTGCAGGATGCGCGCACTGCCATTGGCGCAGCAGCTGTCGCACGTGTCTCACGCGATATCATACCCATGTACTGCACTATTCACTCATTAGGCATAGCTCCTGTCTCGTACAGTATATAGTCAGCTCAGAGCTCTATCAAGCTCCTTAGACCTTATAATACACTCATTCCACCTTGTTTAGATCTCGCTCCCTTGTCAAGTCGTTTGCCATATGTCCCCTCCTCAGCTCATGTAAGAGTTATGAGCCCGGAGTCGCGCTCCTGACTAGTCCTCTAGTCACCACTGCACAGTTAGCTTTTGCATCCAGCTTCAAGGCCCCGCAAACCTCAACAAATATTAATCACAGATTGCTCACCACTTGAGCCTAATTAACTAGACAATAACCTTCTGTCCATTCTAAAACATATTAATTACAGATTGCTTACTACTTGAGCCTAATTAACTAGACAATAACCTTCTGTCTATACTAAAACATATTAATCACAGATTGCTTACTACTTAAGCCTAATTAACTAGACAATAACCTTCTGTCTATTCTACACATATTAATCACAGATTGCTTACCACCTAAGCCCGATCGACAGGACAATAACCTTCTGTCCATTCCAAAACATCGATCACAGATTGCTCACCAGCTGAGCCTGATCAACCGAACGACAACCTTTTCGTCCACTAAAGATGACTCCTACTATTAATGCCTCCGTACAGCTCACTAAAAAGAGCGACTGGCAGCCCTAGTTTAGTCGCATCAAGACACAAGCAACTAGAGAATGTGTCTAGGAGTATATTAATCCAGATCTCTTACTAGAAAATCTCCTAGTTAACACTATGCCACAGAGGCCTAAGGTCGCGAAGTTTCATACAGGCAGCACCCAGCTCAGTCCGAATCCTATGGTCTCTGACCTAAACCTTAACAATCAACAATGCTACACAATGGCCCGCAAAGACTACCGCGATGATCTAAGGTTATTCTAAACTTAACACAAAGCCCTATTAGACATCTATGTGCTTATTAAGAGCACTGTTAACGCATTAAACTACTCTATTATTAGGGACAAAGAAACAATCTACGAAAGGCTAAAGGCCTTGAGGGCAATCTTGGAGCCCTCCGACAAGCAGCTCAAGCAGAGCGCACGAACAGCATACGACCGCGCAAGGAAGTGGTCATCAAAAATGAAACAGGACCAATGGATCACAGCGTACAGGAACGCATATATTGATGCTAAATTAGTCTACCTGCTAAATGTGACAGAATATCAACCACACTATGACTTCGTGTCGGCAATTTCGGACGTAAACCCTGGATGCGCAGCAGCCATCCAATCAATCCTGGTCCAGCATGAACAGACCGATGAGGATCCACCTGATTTCCTCACTAGCTGTCTAGAGTTCTTTGAAAATTGGCAACAATCACAGCTAGCTTAGCAACCTGGTGTCACCCACAGCGGTTTCGCTACATACTAAGGACGCTTGTCCACACTAGAACAGCAGCAACAGCAGTTTATATGCGACTTCTGTGGAGGTCGCCAGCGTGGCCAACAGTACGTAGTACGTTACGTTTGAGCTTTTTTCTGCCAGTAACTTCTCAATTTGGTAGTACTTTTGTACGTAAGCAGTGAATTAATTAGCAAGTACGTAATGTAACAGTAACTTCTTAAAATCCTTATACTTTTGTACTTTTCGCGAGAAGTTTCGTTGGTCTGGGTCAAAATTGTTCTGGGAGAAGCTTTTTAGCCTAGATGAAGTCCCCTCCTCCTCCTTATCGCCCTGTCTCTAGCTTGTTGGGACGACTCTGATAAGCAGGAGGATTAGGATGAGGCTGTACGCCTGCTGCGATAGAGGAATTAAGACATCTAGCTTATTGTAACAATTAATAAGATAGGCAATAGGTTGGCAAATAGGCAGGTATAAGATGAGGAGCTTTTCTAGGGCAAAAGTTAACTATTTTTATAATTGTTACTCTAAAACGCGACCTCAAACAAAGCTCCTAACGCGATGGCCAATGGGGTCTGAAAACAGGAGGGAAATCTCCTAAAATATGACCTCTCTGACCCGTACTACGGGACGTACTTAGCAATTCACTGTACAAAAGTTACGTCTCACATTTTAACTACTTTTGTACTCCTCACGTGATTACTACGTTCACGTAGTTACGTTACGTACTACGGACTGTTGGCCACGCTGGAGGTCGCCACAAATCGAAGAACTGCAGGATCAATGATCCTCGACTAAGACCTGAAGGGTTCCAGATCCCTACTTTCCTCCAGCAGGAATACAACAAGCGGATGAGCAGCAATCCTCAGCTTAAAGCAGAAGCTGAGCTGCTCAAGAACAGAGACCTTCCCCCACTAATAAACTAACTAAACTAAGGAAGAGGACGCGGAAGGGGCGGCAACAATGGCAACTATTATCAGCCGACTCAATCGTCCAGTCACGCGACTCAATCGTACGATCAAAGCCCACAGTCTCAACCTAGTCCACATCCGAATGCAATCTCCGAGACGCCAGCTCCCAATAATTCCACTAACTGGAATCCACCCAATGCTCTAACCGGCACCAGGCGATCAGCAGCTACTCTCATGAGCTTCACGACAAACCTCGTGAGTGAGGAACATGCCGCGGAGCCGGATGACGAAGAGAATCCTCTCCAGCACTCATGGATCCTAGATCCCGGAGCGGACATCCATGTTT